CATCGGGCTCCCTGCTCCGCGGGAAGCCTGCTACTCCCTCTCACACTCCCTCTGTTATGTTCCCTCTCTCGCTGTGTCTCTCTCTGTCAAATAAATAAAATAAAATCTTAAAAAAAAAAAAGAGTCACATGCTCATGGCACCTGGCTGACTCAGTCTGTAGAGCATGCCACTCTTGATCTTGGGGTTGTGAGTTCTACCCCTGTGTTGGGCATAGAGATTACCTAAAAAAAAAAAGAAAAAGAAAAAAAGAGTCACATGCTCTACTGACTAAGCCAGCCAGGCACCCCCAGTTCATATTATTTTCAGTTTTTGTGTGACTGGAAAATAGCCTACAATATGGATTTATTTATTCATTTAAATTATACTTATTATTTAATATAGCCAATTCCCTACTATTGAACATTTTGGTTTGTTTGTTTTTACTAACATAAATATAATGTTTTGATCCTTGTATATACATCTTTGAGCACATTTCTGATTAGTTCCTTACAATAACCTCCTAGAACTAGAATTGCACACCCAAAGAATATGTATCTTTTCAAGATTTTATTTATTTATTTGACAGAGAGAGAGAGCACGAACAAGCAAGGGGGAGTGGCAGGCAGAGGTAGAGGGAGAAGCAGGCTCCCCTCAGAGCAGGGGGAGCCCAATGTGGGCCTCAATCCCAGGACCCCGGAATCATGACCTGAGCCGAAGGCAGTCACTTAACCAACTGAGCCACCCAGGCGCCCTCTTTTTAAGAGTTTTGATGCATATTACCAAAATCCCCTCCAAATAGGCTATAAAAATTTCTTACTCCCACCAATGACATATTATTAGAGTATCCATGTTACTTAAAGTGGCTGGTTCTTATGTTTGCAAGGAACAAACAAGGGCTTGATATTCTTTAACAATTTAAGTTTATCTATATATACTAATCGCATTGAATTCTGTTTACACTAAGATTTCTAAAAGCCTTGTTTAACTAGGTGTTTGAAGGAGTAGGGTGCCTGGCTGGCTCAGTCAGTACAGCATGCAACTCTTGATCTCAGGGTCGTTAGTTGGAGCCCCACGTTGGGTGTAAAGATTACTTTAAAAATAAAAAATAGGGGCCCCTGGGTGGCTCCATTAAGCGGTCAATTCTTGATTTCAGCTCAGGTCATGATCTCCGGGTCCTGGGATCCAGCTCTGTGTCAGGCTCCATGCTCAGTGGAGAGGATTCTCTCTCCCTCCGCCTCTCCCCGCCAACTAATGGGTGTGCTTTCTTTCTCTCTCTCTCTCAAATAAATATAGAAATCTAAATAAATCCTTAAATAAATAAAGAAAGAAACCTTATCTCCATCACTAATTTTTTTTTTAAAGATTTTATTTATTTATTTATTTGAGAGAGAGAGAGAGAGAAACAGCATGAGAGGGGATAGGGTCAGAGGGAGAAGCAGGCTCCCCGCTGAGCCGGGAGCCCGATGTGGGACTTGATCCCAGGACTCCGGGATCATGACCTCAGCCAAAGGCAGTCGCTTAACCAACTGAGCCACCCAGGCGCCCTAATTGAATATTTTTTAAAAATCAGGCTGAGCTGGGACACCTGGGTGGCTCAGTCAGTTAAGCGTCTACCTTCCGCTCAGGTCATGATCCCAGGGTCCTGGGTTCAAGTCCCACAGTGGGCTCCCTGCTCAGCGGGGAGCCTGCTTCTCCCTCTGCCTGCTTTGCCTGCTCTGCCTGACGCTCCCCTCGGCTTGTGTTCTTTCCTTCTCTCTGATAAATAAATAAATAAAATCTTAAAAAAAAAAAAAAATCGGGCTAAGCTGTTATGTGTCTGGAAAGGGCATGACTCTTTGCTCCCAATAAACAAATAGTACTTATTTCAGTGATTCCAAGATTTTGGTTTAGAGAATATCAGTATCCTAAAATGATAATATATTTAACCACTATTGCAAATGAAAAGGTTAAAGTAGATAAGAGATAAATCTCTTGCAAAATTTGTTCCCAAACTTGAACTCCCTTTTGTATACTCTTTCCACTATAATTCACAACCAGAAACAAAGCCAGCAGATGGATAATGTTTTCATTCACTTTTACCTTTAGCATCCATTAACTCACCTAAATGTTTGTAATGGTGATTGTGAGCTTGTAATAAAACCTTTACTCGATCCAAAGGAGCAACTGTTGTTTTGGCACAGCATCCGGCAATACCTAAAAAATTTTTAAACAGTCAGGATGAAATTGTGTACCATTTCTTTCCACATGGAAACTTTTATTCAGCCAGCACACCTTCTGATTTCTAATTTGGTCTCCATGGGTAGAACTGCCCAGTTGCAGGGATATGCAGATGCCTGGCCCCCGTTCCCTGTAACTTAATAATTGAGTATGTCAGACTTAAAAATAAATTTGAAGAGCGTAAATCTTCCCCCTAATACCTGATGAGCACTGGCAATCTTGCTAAATGTAGTTATGGAGACAGACACTTGAAGGTTTTTACCCAGCTATGAGGCTCTGTTTCAAGTAACCTCTTCTTCTGGATGACTCTATCATTGAAACAACCACCTTTTACCCATAACAGTCAGCATACCCATATATATTCAGCAATTATGTATTTGGTCCCTACCACGTGCCACTGTGCAGACATACAGATGACAGTAATGTGTGCACATGGGCTTTAGTGTAGGTCAGAATCCAGGGCAGCCCTACTAGCTTGACTTGCTTCTTCTAAGGCAATAATATATGAAGACTCTGCTATAGACTGTGTCCTCCCAAATTCATATGTTGAAAACTAATTCCCAGTGTGATGGTATTTAGAGGTGAGGCTTCTGGGAATTGCTGAGGTCAGCAGGGTGGAGCCCTCGTGAACAAGATTAATGCCTTTATAAAAGCCCAGAGAAATCCCTGGCCCCTTCCACCATGTGAAAACACTGAGAAGGTACCACCATGTGAAAACACAAAGAGAAGGTGCTGTCTATGAGGAAGCAGGTTCTCACCAAACACAAAATCTGCTGACACCATGATTTGGCTTTCCCAGCTTCCAGAACTATAACAAATAAGTGTCTGGAGCTTCCAGGTTGATAAAAAGGAAGTAAGAAAGAAAAGAAAGAAGGAAGGAAAAAGTTGTTTATAAAACACCCAGATTTTGATATTTTTGTTTTAGTAGCCCAAACAGACGAAGACAATTTTGTAAAGTACCTTACATGTTATAAGCACTTGATAAAACAGGCTGTTACATTATAAAAAGGTGGATAAAAAGTCTCTGGTGTCTTATTATGATTACATTAAGCTCTTCACTATAGCATATTTGATCCAGAGGTATGAGAGGACTGGAATTTTGTGGGTCGCCTTTATTACTATACAGAGACCAGTACAGGGCCTGGCACGTAACAGGCACTCAGTGTTATTTAATGAATGAATGTAGGGGCACCTGGATGGCTCAATCAGCTAAGCGTCTGCCTGCAGCTCAGGTCATGATCCCAGGGTACTGGGATTGAGCCCCACATTGGGCTCCCTGCTCAGCAGAGAGTTTGCTTCTCTCTCTCCCTCTCCTCCAGCTCCTGCTCTCTCTCTCTCTCTCATTTAAAATACTTTTTAAAAAAAATGAATGTAGAGTTTTACTTCACAATTTTTTATTTTTTATATTTTTTAAATATTTTATTTAGTTATTTGGGAGAAAGAGAGTGAGCGAGAGAGAGAGAGAGCACACGAGCAGGGGGCAGAGGGAGAGGGAGAAGCAGACTCCCCTGCTGAGCAGGGAGCCTGACGTGGGGTTCAATCTCAGGACCCTGGCTGGAATCATGACCTGAGCCAAAGGCAGAAGGTAGGGGCGCCTGGGTGGCTCAGTTGTTAAGCATCTGCGTTCGGCTGGGGTCATGATTCCAGGGTCCTGGGATCGAGCCCTCCATTGGGCTCCCTGCTCCGCGGGAAGCCTGCTTCTCCCTCTCCCACTCCCCCTGCTTGTGTTCCCTCTCTCACTGTGTCTCTAGCTGTCAAATAAAAAAACAAAACAAAACAAAACAAAAAAAACAAAGGCAGAAGGCAGACATTTAACGGATTGAGCCACCCAGGCACCCTTACAAACTTTTTAAAATGTGAGACAAGGGTCGCCTGGGTGGCTCAGCCAGTTAAGCGTCTGCCTTCAGCTCAGGTCATGATCCCAGGGTCCTGGGATAGAGCCCCGCATCGGGCTCCCTGTCCAGTGGAGAGCCTGCTTCTCCCTCTCCCTCTTGTGCACTGTCTCTCTCTCTCTAATAAATAAATAAAATCTTTAAAAAAAAGTGAGACAAAATCACTCAAAATCCACACACATTTAATAGCCTACCATGTAACTAATATTAATTAAAATTCATATTCTGAGATATCCAAAAATAAAATGCCTATTCATATTCAAATATTAAATCCACATGTAAGTTTCTATATCAAGCTTCTTTTATCTGAACTAATGAAAATCATAGTCATGACTACTCAAAATTGAGAAGAAACTACAAATAATTTGCATTTGGGTATATTTGGTTTCAGAACATTATATTATTTTCTCAGTCATTATGAACTAACCATATAATGAAATTATTTAGAATGTGTTCATTAAGCAGTTTCCTTTGATAGTATCTTAACTCACTTAATCACATTACTTTATAGCTCAATTAATCATTACAACAATCCATTGAGTTAAGTCATGCAGCTTTTATCTTCCTTTTGAGCAAATGAGGTTAAGATAGTGGCCAAGGCCACTGCTAATCAACAATAATAGTTAAGTTTTGAGTATTTACCTTGTACCAGGTACTAGGCTAAGAGATTTTTTTTTTTTTAAGATTTTATTTATTTATTTGACAGAGAGAGAGAGCGCAAGAGCAGGAACACAAGCAGGGGGAGTGGGAGAGGGAGAAGCAGGCCTCCCGCTGAGCAGGGAGCCAGATGTGGGGCTCGATCCCAGGACCCTGGGATCATGACCTGAGCCAAAGGCAGAAGCTTAACGACTGAGCCACCCAGACGCCCCTAAGAGATTATTTTTTTAAGATTTTATTTATTTATTTGACAGAGAGAAAGAGCACAAGCAGAGGGAGTGGCAGGCAGAGGGAGAGGGAGAAGCAGGGAGCCCCACATGGGGCTCGATCCCAGGGTGACCTGAGCTGAAGGCAGACGCCCAACTGACTGAGCCACCCAGGCGCCCCTAGGCTAAGAGATTCAACTCAGAACACTATGCCAAGGCTTTTATGGATACTATTTCATTTAATCACTACAATCTTCTAAACAAGGAAATCTTTTCCCATTTAAAGGATGTGAAGGGGTGCCTGGGTGGCTCAGTCATTAAGCGTCGGGTCATGATCCCAGGATCCTGGGATCAAGCCCCGCATTGGACTCCCTGCTCCACGGGAAGCCTGCTTCTCCCTCTCCCACTCCCCCTGTTTGTGTTCCTGCTCTCGCTGTCTCTCTGTCAAATAAATAATTCTAAATAAATGAATGAATGAATGAATGAATGAATGATGTGAAAACTGAGGCACAGGGAGGCTAAAGTAACTTGCCCAAAGGTATTTTGTTATATCACTTGGACAAGGAACTCGTTCAAAATTATTCACACTCTCCAAAAATCTGAAGCAGCACTTTACGAAGAGACACAAATGGCCAAAAAGAATATGAAAAGATATTCAGCATCATTAGTCATCAGGGAAATGCAAATTAAAACCACAATCACATACCTTTAAACACCTATTTAAAGAGAAACACACAATTACACAAACACAGAGGACACAAACTCTGATAACAGCAAGTATTGACAAGATAGTGGGGATACAAAATGGAACAGACACTTTAGAAAAGAGTTTGGCGGGCGCCTGGGTGGTTAAGCGACTGCCTTCGGCTCAGGTCATGATCCTGGAGTCTCAGGATCAAGGCCCGCATCAGGCTCCCTGCTCAGTGGGGAGCCTGCTTCTCCCTCTGACCCTCCCCCCCGCGCCCGTGCTCTCTCTCTCATTCTCTCTCTCTCAAATAAATAAAATCTTAAAAAAAAAAAAGAAAAGAAAAGAGTTTGGCAATTCCTACTTCACTCCAAATAAAACTTGGAATCTTTATGATTGTTTGGGAAGCCCTTCATTCAGCCTCCCATCACCTCTGACCTCCTTCCCCCATCAACACTTGGCTCCAGCTACATAGCTTTTCTTAAAGCCTGAAATGCTCCTCTTGAGACATCAACTTGCAAACTCCCTCACTACTTTAAGTCTGCTCAAGTGTCATTCTCTCCAAGAGATTTATCATGACTGTCCTAATTAACATTACACCCACTCAGCCTCTGCATTTCCTTGCCCCATTCTTTTTACTTCTTCCCATTGCATTCATCACCTTCTAACATACTATATAACTTACTTTCTCATTTTACTTGCTCTCTTTCTCCCCTCAACTCTTCAATCAGTGTAAACTCCAGGATCTTTGTTTTGTTCCCTGATACACACTGAGCATGTAGCAGGCACTCATATTCCTTGTATAAATGAATGAATGCTGTTTTTATCAGAACAAAATAAATTCTTAATACTACTGCACCCTACAGATATTCTTTCTAAAAGCCCTTATAATGTGGAATTTTAAAAATTCCCAGCTTAACAAGTAATTAAGTGTTGACAACCCAATTAATTAAGAGACGGTAGAGACTGAAAACACTTCTTTATAGGAAGGCAGAGGAAGTTTCTGAGAGACAATTATGAACTTTCTGGCCTCACAGTGACACGGATAGAAGGGCTGCCCCAGCTACCCGTCATGTAGCTATAGAACACTTTCCTACAATCACTGGAATCAGTTTTGATTGTAGACAGTTTTACACAATTTCCCAGTCAACTTTAAAAAGCTGACCTCCAATATTTGCCTTCTTTAACGCAAACGGCAAAATCCAATTCTACACTGGGTCATTTATAGTCTTTATAAAAGAAAGGAGTTCCCAGCATGTTTCACGGAAACCCTGGAGTCTTGGCAAAGGACTAGGCTCTTTTCCCTACCATCCAACCCCGAAGAATGGGTGCTTGGTTCAGCCCGTCCACCTCCCCAGCGGCTCCCTGACAGCTCGAGGCCCTTCCTCACCAGGATCCTGAAGTCAATAATCAAGTGATTATTAGAGTTACAACAGGTCAGGGCAAATAGCCAGCCGAGCATTGAAGCAGCCAGAGTCCAAGAATGTCACTGCGGCCGCAAGCACCGTATATACCCCGGATCCCGCCCTGCCACCCCAGCACGGCCGGGTCCCCCCGGCTGACACCCACCTCCAGCCAGAAAGGAGCGCAGCCAGTAGAAGTCCCGACGGGCGGTGGGCCCTCCGGCTCCTGCCGCCTGCGGCATCGCGGGAGGGGGGTCGGCCGCTGCCAAGGCCGCCGCTGCCGCCATCAGGACCAGTGCCGCGTCGGGAACTCTGGTCGCCAATTTACAAGCCACGGGCTGGGGCCATGGCCACAGCGGGCGGTGACAGAGCACCGACCGCCGCGCGGGCGGGACGGAATAACACCCGGCGGCGCGGCGCAGGCTGATGGCGTACGCCAGGGGGCGGGGCCTGGGCCCGGGTCCCAAGTGGGAGTCACCCGCGCTCGCCACCTACCCCACCCAGCGTCACCCCACGACCCTACTCCCGGCCTCGTTTTCCAGGCCTCTTCTGTTCTAACGGAGGAGAAGCGTGGCCCCGAGGGAGGTCCCACCAAAATCCCACCACCTCAGAGAGCTCTTCCCGGCCCATTGACTTGTAACTGCCCATCGGGCTGTCTTCTGAACTACGTCAGATGAATCCTTTCCAGAACCAATCTTTGGTTCCGCTCTGCTCTTTCCAGGAACCTCTGAAATTGCACCATCTCCCACCAAATCAGTTCTGCCTTCACAGAGCTTCTCACTGAACCTCAGTTTCTGTCCTTCCTAACCACCTATTAAGCTTCCACTCCACCCCATCACCTCTGTCAAAGAAATGTTGCTAAAGCAGATTGTTCTTTCTTTGGGGCCCTACAAATTACACAAATACTTTTGCCTTGTCAGGCCTTTCTGAATCTGTGCCTTGTGCTTAGCTCTCAAATCCCACCGAGCTCTACTCCCCACTCCAGTCTCAGCCCTAAACTCTTAGAAGCTCCCCTGTTCCTTCTCCCTTCCCCTATTGTATTCCAAGACTCTATTACTTAACTACTCTTTAGGAGCACAATTCTCTTACTGTGAGCCCCTCATCACTTCCAGGCTGGGCAAAATCATTCCTATTCTTTATAACCAAAGTTGTTCTGAATTGTATCGTCTCTTTCAGAAACTATCTTTTATGATTTCCTCAATACTTATTCCATCCTTTCCTATTATTGGCACTGGTCTCTTCTTTCTCTTTCTGTGGATATGCTTCTGCAAGGTGTTTCTAGCCTCATGTAGTCTCTAATGATGAGTCCAGATTTAAATTTTATCTTTCCCCATGTTCCCAATTTTTTATTTCCACTGGAAAATACAGACCCCTATAATAGTATCATTATTTATATTTTACATGTCTAATGACAGGAATCAAAAGCTCCCCAGAGGGCGCCTGGGTGGCTCAGTTGGTTAAGCGACTGCCTTCGGCTCAGGTCATGATCCTGGAGTCCCTGGATCGAGTCCCGCATCGGGCTCCCTG